ACAACATCAATATATTAAAAAACTGTAATTTGACTTCACTGTCAGGAAATGTTAATATCTATCATATAGAAAGATGTTAGTTTTTAATTTAGTTATTAAGAACTATAATATATAAGACGTTGACAATGGATAGGCAAATACAAATGAATCAATACTATATTTCCAAAGGGATTGCAGATTTTCTCACTTTGGGAAAAACATGTATACTTATGGCATTTTGTTTCTAATTACAGAATATTTTAATCATTGTAACTGTCACTAGCCAGATTTGCTAAAGGTAAAATAGACTAGGAAAGCACTTTAAGCTCTTTTGAAGTAAATTTGTATGGAAAGAGCAAATGCAATAATTAATAGAGTGTGCTAACTGCAGACATAAAAGTAACATTTGTTTCTCTACTGCAAATATGCTCCTTTTGCACTCTTTCTCAACCATGGGGTGGTTCTCCGGTGGAGGGACGACATACTTGCTTTACTGAGAGCAGTGTGGCTTCATCACAACTACTGTGAGAATATAATCAATCTGGATTTGAACAGAGTCTTCCATTCTGGTCAATTTAGATTCAGTTTCATGTCATTTTTACACCAGCCTGTATTCTTGATGAACACTTCCTTATAGGATTCATGGGTGTTTCAAATTCAAGATGAGATTTAATAGGTCTACATTTTGATATTACAAATAACTTCTATTAATGATAGATATGCTCATTTGAAGAAGCTTTCTGTAGATTTTGTCAAACTATTCTTGAGGACATTAGATTTTCTCTAATATTACTTACATAAATAATATATAAATTCTACCATGTATGTGCATTGTAAACCAAGCATCTAAAATACATATTGAAGAATTCTAATTATAGATTAAAAATAAAATAAATTATATTTGTAAATAGGACTCTGCTAATAGTATTTTTTATTTCTTTCTTAATACAAAAGGAAAGTTACTAAGTATAGCAATAATTTCTAATCACTGCATGGGTGATTAAAGTGAAACATGAATAAAAATGGGCTTTCCTGGTGGCTTAGACAGTAAAGAATCTGTCTTCAATGTGGGAGACCTGGGTTTGTTCCCTGGGTGGGGAAGATCCCCTGGAGGAGGGCATGGCAACCCACTCCAGTATTTTCTCACCTGGAGAATCCCATGGATAGAGCCTGGTGGGCTATGGTTCATGGGGTGGCAAAGAGTCAGACACGACCGAGAGATTAAGCACAGCACATATGAACCAAAATGTGGAGTGTTTGAGGCTTCACAACAAATTACTGAATTGAGCTGGGAATGTTTTTTAGGCTGTAGATGAAGTAGCAACATTCTTGAAAGCCCTGCCTATTCACTGCAACAATTCTGGAAAATGTGGTTTAATAATGACACACTCTGGTCATTCTCTTGCAGAGAATCAAATAAGCACCACCTTTTAGAGCAATATGACTACTGCAGTACTGCTAACGCTTTCCAAACTTAACCATCTGTGCCTCTAAACTTGTCCTGTTTACAGTGTCACTTGAAAAGATCAAATAATTTTTTTCCTATACATTTGTCTTGACTGTGAATAAAGACTTTCATCCTTAGTGGATAGTGTTTGAAAGACTACATCTGAAGAATAAACGATTTGAAATCAGAGGTTTTGTAGACATGGTTTCTAGAAAATGTAAGGAATAAGATAAAACTGTTACTGTACTTTACATATGAAGAGATATCTAGAAGAAATTATTTACTTGAACTTGTGTAAATGCACCATACTCAGTGGAGAAATAAGATAAAGCTATTTATTCTTTGAAAATTAACAGGGGACGCTTTCTCCCTTTAACAACTTCATTTCCATCTGGATAGTATAACATTATATTTCTCATCTTCCTTCAGGTAGCTATTTTATGCCTTTCTTCAAAGATGCATGTGAGTTTGCCTTTTCCTAAAGCAACTGCTGCAGAAATCACACATTTTCCAGAATTATCTCATAAAATTACTGCTCTATCTTTTCAGTATTTAATTGAGGCCCTGAAATTAGATTGGGCTTTTACAAACACTCATTAGTGGGTCTAATTCTTTTTATAGGAGTAGCCTTCACAGAAGAAGATAGAATTGGCATAGTGTACACATTTAAATTCTAAAAGGAATTATTCCTATTCTTTTGAGAGAATAAAAAATCATTTCCTCTTCTTCCTTAGTTTTAATTCATTTCCTCTTTTGGTTTATGAAGGGGGCACAATTAGGTAAGATGTCATGGGAGAGAGGCCATGGAGACAAAGAAAGGACAATCTCATTAACTGAAATTTCATTTCTTGCTCATTAATTATTTGGATGCTGTGCTACCTGATTTGAGAAAAATAACTTCTGAAAATGTTGGGATTTCTTTGTAACATATTATTAACAAAGTTTAAATTTTAATTGGATTTTTGGTTACATGACCTTTGTTACTCCTGGCAAAGATGCCACACACTATAACTAGATAATCCCATTGGAGTCAGAAGGATTCCAAATGTCGATATGACAATGAAAATGGTATAGCCCATGCTTCTGATTTTCAAAATCAAAAAAGCAAGAGAAACCAGGCACAGTATATATAGTCAGAGAGACAACGAAAATGAGTTTCCTATTTTCCAACCCACCACCTATGCATATTTAAAGAAGTAATATAAGAAAAAATACTGATTTTCTTGTGCTTAAATGAGATAATATGATGAAGAATTATAGGATCTACTGCTATATATCTGAATTAAACTCTGATTAGATGTTCTTGGAGGTAAGGGAAAGCACTATATCTAAAATAATTTACATAAAAAATCATGTCCCAATTCTGCAAAAAAAAAAAAAAAGGGTTTCATATAATCCCTGATGTCTGAATGTACTCTCAGAAAACATTTAGCTCTTGTGTGTGTGCTAAGTTGCTTCAGTCGTGTCTGACTCTTTGTGACGCTATATCTGCAGTCCTCCAGGCTCCTCTGTCCACAGGATTCATACTGGAGTGGGTTGTCCTGCCCTCTGCCAGCGGATATTACTGACCCAGGGATGGTACCCCAGTCTCCTGCATTGGCAGGCAAATTCTTTACCACTAGTGCCACCTGGAAAGCCCCACTACCCTCAACTTGCAATGAGGAGGCACTGAACAAGAATGTGATACCAGGTAGAGAGAAGCATCATTTGTACTTTCTCAGGAGAGAGGAAATATGATCATAACAGGATGAATACTGTTTGAGGACTTGACTTTTTTCCTAAAAATGTCAATTTTGTCTTATCTTATTTAAAGAAGTCAGCTATCTCTCTATTTAATTTCCTCAGGATAACTGTAGGACAGATCAAAAATTAAAGGAAGCAAGTCTTCTTAATTTTTGCTTTCCAAATGTTTAAGCTCTTGGGGGGATTTATTAAGCTGGAAAAATAAGTAAAAATAAAGAGTGTGCATGCAGACATCAAAATAGTCAGTTCTCAGCCTTTCCTGTAACTGAGAACTTATTCTTGGTTGAAGAGAGACAGGCTGATAAGGAAGAAGAAATGTTCTCAATATCATTGCCACTTGTGTGGCAATGCACATCAGGGCAGAGCATTTGACCTTATTTTTTGACCTGAGGATTAGAAACTCTAGGCTATACAGTAATATGTTTAGCATATATTTTAACAAGAATGCTGCAGACAGATAAGTCTGTTGTTATGTTGATAAATACACTCAGTATAGCCTCCCATTTCATCAGAGTAAATTCTGCCCCAGAGAAGCCTTGGCTCTGAAGACTTCCTCTGATTAATCTATATGATCTATTGGTTTCTTCATTTCAAAATTAGAAAACTAAATCTGCAAGCCATAAACTATTTCCCACAGCACTGAACATATTCTAGCAAATTATAACTATATAGCTTATAATTATTCCTTTGTATACAAGCCTACCTCCATCAAAACATTTACATTGCCTCAGCGTTTCTCAAATCAAAGCTGCTATCAAATCATGTATTATTATAGCATATGGATTTATATGTATTGACTTTGTATATATCTATATTTGGAATTGTGCACACAAACATGAATACACACCTATTTTACATATGTAAATTAGGTATGACTGGGTAACCAAGCCACTAAATGCATTCTATTTCCTTTTAAAATAGGAGGCAGTGTGAGGTCAAATCTACAGCTGGAGATACTCACTTGGGTGGAGAAGACTTTGACAACCGCATGGTCAACCATTTTATTGCAGAGTTCAAGTGCAAACACAAGAAGGATATCAGTGAGAACAAGAGGGCTGTCCGTCGTCTCCGTACTGCTTGTGAGCGTGCTAAGCGCACTCTCTCTTCCAGCGCCCAGGCCAGTATTGAGATTGATTCCCTCTATGAAGGAATCGACTTCTATACCTCTATTACCCGTGCCCGATTTGAAGAACTGAATGCTGATTCGTTCCGTGGCACCCTGGACCCTGTGGAGAAAGCCCGTCGGGATGCCAAGCTGGACAAGTCTCAGATCCGTGATATTGTCTTGGTTGGTGGCTCAACCTGCATCCCCAAGATTCAGAAACTTCTCCAGGACTTCTTCAACGGGAAAGAACTGAATGAGAGCATCAACTCTGATGAGGCTGTTGCGGACGGTGCAGCTGTTCAGGCAGCCATTTTGTCTGGGGACAAATCTGAAAATGTTCAAGACTTGCTGCTGTTGGATGTCACTCCTCTTTCCCTTGGAATTGAAACTGCTGGTGGAGTCATGACTGTCCTCATCAAGCGCAACACCACCATTCCTACCAAGCAGACGCAGACTTTCACCACCTACTCTGACAACCAGCCTGGTGTGCTCATTCAGGTTTATGAAGGTGAGCGTGCCATGACCAAGGATAACAACCTGCTTGGCAAGTTTGAACTCACAGGCATACCTCCTGCCCCACGTGGTGGTCCTCAGATTGAAGTCACTTTTGATATTGATGCCAATGGCATTCTCAATGTCTCTGCTGTGGATTAGAGCACAGGAAAAGAGAACGAGATTACCATCACTAATGACAAGGGCCGCTTGAGCAAGGAAGATATTGAACGCATGGTTCAAGAAGCAGAGAAGTACAAAGCTGAAGATGAGAAGCAGCGGGATAAGGTGTCTTCAAAGAATTTGCTTGAATCCTATGCCTTCAACATGAAAGCTACTGTTGAGGATGAGAAACTTCAGGGCAAGATTAATGATGAAGACAAACAGAAGATTCTTGACAAGTGTAATGAAATAATCAACTGGCTGGATAAGAACCAGACTGCAGAGAAGGAAGAATTTGAACATCAGCAGGAGCTGGAAAAAGTCTGCAACCCCATCATTACCAAGCTGTACCAGAGCGCAGGAGGCATGCCTGGAGGAATGCCAGGAGGAATGCCTGGGGGCTTCCCTGGTGGTGGAGCTCCTCCATCAGGTGGTGCCTCCTCTGGGCCCACTATTGGAGAGGTTGATTAGGCCAGCCTAGCATAGATCTAGCATTGTTCCACACAAAACATGGAAGGACCCAAATTTGTAGCAAATCCCATGGCAGTTATGAAGTTGAGCTGCTATAGTAAATAACTGCGCATTCTTGATACTTGAACATGGAATGTGTGTGCACATGGAAAAACATTGCACTTTACAAGCACTGTAAAGTGTAAAGTGTAAGTGGAAAAATGCAATGTCTTAAATAAAACTGTATTTAAAATTGGCAAAAAAAAAAAATAAAATAAAATAGGAGGCAGTGATTTTATTGACTATTGATAGATTTGGGGGACATTATTTTTAATATATAGTTATTAAAGTTTTATTAGGTAATTGTGAATTGCAAAAATAATAAGCAATATCTTATGTATAAATTTTCTTTTTCATTTCATAATATACATATCCAAGGGTTCCATCTTTGCTAAAATGCCTAAATAATACACAATATTGTAAAAGAAGTAGTCATATTTCCTTTCTACTATAGTCTATAAAACATGCCAATTAGATACTATGCTTCTAATTATTTTTAATTTCCTTGATATTTTTTCCTTCTTATTTTTAGTTCAGAAGCAACTTGAGAACCTTCATTTGTGCTCACTCTCTCTAGCCAGTGCTTGTGATTGCACACTAACATTTTACCCTGCTACAGATCAATACATCTGGCTCTACCCATCATATTGCTAGCATCAGTTTCTATCAGTTATAAAACATAAGATTAATTTTCCATATACTCAAATCACAAAATAGGAATAAAAATTTTAAAAATGCCAGATGAAGAACTAAAATGACATAAATAGGTATTTAGATTATATATAGATAGGGGCATAAGCATTTGATGAGTCAAATGAAGAATATATGCTCCACATATTTACTGTTTTAAAATTAAACCATCAGACATACACTTGCCCAGGATTTTTACCACCTAATTTTGATAATATCTAGTATATCTTTAAATCAATATTCAAAAGTATTTGTATATTACCTGAATTCCCAAACACTGTTGAGAATTGAGCTTACTTCAGCTGTGCCATTTGTTAAATATCTCAGTGACAAAGCCTGTGATTCATGTGATGGGAAAATGAGAAGTAAAGATGGTCCGCTGAGTCATAAAGTAAATTATAAATGGTCAGCAAATCCAAGGCTTCAGAGCTTTTGAAAATAATTTCAAAGGGCCAAAATTTGGAAACCCAGTGAGACAAAGAGGTAGGAAACTTGGGTTCTAGTGAAAAACGTCTGACGGATTTGTTAGGGTAAGGCCAGAGGAGTTTTTTGGAGCAGGTTATGATATTCTTTCAAAAAATTTTTGTTGGCTCTCATATTCTGTGTATAAGTGTTTTGAGTTTACAGAAACAGAGTTTGAGGAGATATGTATATTGTAGCTCAATATTTTTCAATCATGTATCAGGAAGTCAGTGTTTTTACTGTCTTAAAACTAAATTGCAAGCATTTAAATTAACTTAGAGGTTATGCATTCTATTAAAGAAATATGATTAGCTTAGAAATAAGTGCAAAAACTTTGCTTTGCCCAAAGTTATTAAAATACAAAATCTGTGTATATGTATATATACATGTGTATATATGTGTGTATATAAGTGTATATATATATACAAACTTGGTATAGTATTTATTGACATAGTGATTCCACAGTCATGAATAGCAAGGATTTCTTGAAGTAAAGGTGGGACTTGCTTATCTCACTTCCAATCACAGAAGAACTGTTTTAGCACTATATTACTGAGTATGCTATTTGCTATTATTTTTTTATAAATGTCCTTCATCTGACAGGATACATTTCAAGATAATAAGAATTACTATAAGTAGTAATAAATAGCATCATATTGGCACAATAATATGCAAATAGAATTCATGAAAATATTGATAGATAATTTATCAATACAGACTAGTGGAGAAAACATGATCTTTTCGATAAGGAGTGCTGGGTCAACTGAATAGTCCTAAAGAGGAATAAATAAATAAATAAATCTTCACCCAATAACTATATTGCATAAAATATTAATTACTTGGATTGTAGATTTAAATGTAAAATGTAAAACAGTAAAACAAAGCATCAAGAAGTTAACACAAGAGAATGTCATCATGGGCCACTATATAAGCAAGGATTTCTTTATATGACACAGACCTAACAATAATAAAAAAGATTTATAAATTCAGTACCTTAAGAATTACAAAATTTTGTTGATTAAATGCACCATTAAAAAGTGAAAAAACAAACATCAAGAAAGAGAATTTATTTCAATATTTATACTAATTTTTTGTTTCCAGAATATTCAAGAACTCAAATGCATAATTAAGTAAAAGAGAGCTTAGGAAAAAAGAGCAAGAAGTATGAGAGAATATTCTATAAGAACACACCAATATTCACTAACTGTATGAAAAACTGTTCAATTTCATTAGTGATCAGGGACGTGCATATTAAAAGCAAGTGAATACTAATATATACCCCCCAAAATGTCAAAATTGAAACAAAACAAAATAAATTGGAAGATACCATCAAGTGTTGGCAAATATGTGGCAACAGTAACTCTCTTACACAGATAAAGAAAATATAAACGCACAACTTATTCAACTATTACTGAAAACTTTTGGAGCCAATCCACTTCAGTTGAAAATATATAAACCTTACAACTTAACAATTCTGCCCTTAGGTAGAGAACACATTTGCAAATATGGACAGGCACAAGAAGGTTGACAGCAACATCATAAAGAAACCAATAAGGAAATATTGGTGAAAATCCAATTTTCAATATTAGTGAAATGATAAATTCATTCATTATAATATTAAAACACAATTAAATGAAAAATGACTTCTACACTTAACAACAGAGATAAATTTCATAAACATGATGTTACATGAAAGCCAGATATATCTATATCTATATCTATATCTATATCTATATCTATATCTATATTCTGTGGTTTATATATAATTACATAAAAGTACTACACTGAGTATATATGTATAAATGAATGCATATGCGCTTCCCAGGTGGTTCAGATGGTAGAGAATCTGTCATCTCTGGTAGAGAATGCGGGAGACCCAGTTTTGATCCCTGGGTTGGAAAGATCCTTTGGGAAAGGTAATGGCAACCCACGCCAGTATTCTTGCCTGACAGAGGAGCCTGGTGGGCTACAGTCCATGGAATCACAAAGAGGTGGACACGGCTGAGTGACTGACACACACAGTATGTAATATACAAATATGTATGCATAGTATGTGTAAAGTAATGCTAAGTCAAGATGATTACCTATGGAAGAAGGAAAGAAATGATTTGCAATTGAGAAGGGGCAAGATGGCAATTTATGGGCTTTTGAATTATTAATAGCTTATTTCTAGAACTGAGTGATGCTCAGTTTGTGGTAACATTGTGTAGTACATTTATCCTTTTGTCCTTTTCACCTCAAGTGAGACATCTTCAGTCATTTTACAAAAAATAATAATGCTAAAGGGACAGTCGAAGTGTCCTGGGAGGCAGAAAGTCAATTTTTTTGTGACATTTAAATTACTGCAGAAATGGTGTGGTTCACATCTGACTGACATTTCAGAGATAAAGTATACCTACTGTAGTAGATTCAGTAATATTTATAAATTTGACTATAACTATAATGAGTTCCAGGCCTTCCCGGGTGGCTCAGCTGGTAAAGGATCCGCCTGCAATGCAGGAGACCTGGGTTCGATCCCTGGGTTGGGAAGATTCCCTGGAGAAGGGAAAGGCTACCCACTTCAGTATTTTGGCCTGGAGAATTCCATGAACTGTATAGTCCATGGGGTTGCAAAGAGTCAGACACGAATGAGTGACTTTCACCTTCATAATGAGTTCCTATGGCTGCCATTTAAAACATAATTTTGAATTAACTACTGCTGCTACTACTACTATCATTATGAAAATTTAACTCTAACTACATCTAGCTGATATTTATTCAGAATTAATTCTTTCTCTCCTGTGTACCCTGAACTGGACTTGTTTAAGTGTTTTATGAGTATAAATTATTTTAAATTTTACTTCAATATTTTAATTGTCACAAAAGATTAATGAAGCAGCTACATCTAGTTTTCTATTTTACAGATGAAGGAGCTAAAAACCAGAGAAATACCTAAAACTAATATATTCCACAAATGTATCATTATAAATAATTCACATTGAAAGTGGAGTTTTAAAAATATATACTGTTCTTCAGAGCCTAGAATATTAAGTACTAAATCATTTGAATAAAGAAACAAGCAACTCTTGCCATATATCTGTTAGGCAAGAGTTTATGTACTCTTGTATATATTGTGATGTACAAGCCTTCTTAACCTCAAAAGAAAAGTGAACTCTTAGGTAATGAATTTTCTAGTTAGAGCCACATTGCTTTTTCTTACTTGAATGTGACATGAATAAAACTTGGAGTATGTTTTCTATCTATTTTTATTACTATACACTAAATTAATTTTTCATTTTAAATATGTAAGTTTTGATAGGAAAATACCTATATTGAAAAAGATTTTCCTATAAGGTAGAAGAATCTGTCTCCTATTACTTTACCTTCTGGGACTTGTCCATTGTCTATTCTTGTTTTTTGTTGTTACTTTAATTATAAAAATGATTTAACATTTTTTGGAAGAAACCTATTATATTCACCATGAAAATGTTTGAAAGAAAAGCTGCACCCATCATATTATAGTTCACCTCACAGTTCTAGAAGACAGAAACAATAATTGTACTACCACCATGCTCTGCTGTAGCACAGTTTCTAAATGATTCACTTTTATGAAAAAATATTTTTAAGACTAGTGTGAAAATTTTAAAAAGAAATAAGAATGACCTTATCTTCTTCCATTAAGCCTGTAAACCAGTACAGGGCAGAGAAGTGTTCTTAAATAATGCAATTTCATTTTGAACCTGATTTTCACAGGAAAGATTATAGAAAGGAAAGCCAAAAGCATAAGGTTAAGTCTTATTCCTCACTACATAGGCCAAGATACAAATATG